AATCCCGCTAATATTTATGCTTGGGCTCGGTCGGGCCTCAGTGTCGCGGCCCGGGCCAGGTTCCGGCAGACACTTCAGGCCTGTGAGGGATGTACACTATGCAATTGGCAGGCTAATTTGTAACCCTCTGGGGAAGCGTAGCGCCACCGGCTAGCTGGCAAATGACGCCAGCGGCTTGCGGATTTGGGGTCTCGTGTCAAACAGACCCCGCAGACCTGCTTTGGGATTCAGGACTGTGCAGTAACATTTCCTGAAGTGGCTATGATCCTGTCAGGAAAGATAAACACGTAGCCGTTAGCGCAAAGCGGCTCTGCTAGGCGCCCCCTAGCCACCCTCTCCACAGACGTGGTCCTCGGGGTTTGTCCTCTGTGATAATAAAGCAGGATTATTTATGTCACCCCCCCCCCATCAGAAGTGGGGCCCAGTAACGATCCTCCAGCGGCCGCCCTAATACCGCTTGTTTGTGCTAATTAAGGTCTGGGCAAATTTAAGCAGCGTTTTAATTACCTGCCAATTAAGACGCCAGTTACTGGACCGGAGGAAACGTGAACCGGCGGCACTGGCGTGGGGATGTGGGGCCTGACCGGCTCGCAAGTCCGTCAGGGACACGAGCACAAACACGCACAGACGCGCACAGACACGCACAGACGAGCACAGACACACAAGCATCGCAGGCACACTGAAACATGTGGGCATGCTGGGAGGCCAGAGGCTGAGCCAGATCTGGCTGCGACTTGCCTGATTGGCTGAGACATGTCTGCACACGCCCCAATTATGGGCGTGTCCTTGATTCATGAGGTCACTGTATTAGCACTATCAACATATTGCCTCGTTTCTGCGTCTTGGACCATCTGCATTATTTTGTATGTCCTGTATTATTTTGCATTGTATTGTTTTGCACCATCTGCATTGTTTTATGCTGTGTTTAGTAACTGAGTGAGGCTGCATGACTGAATGAGGCTGAATGACAGCGTTCTAATGCACCTGTTGCATGTGGTTAGTAAAGAATCATGGCTAGGCTATGAAAACATGAGCTGCATTTCTATAAAGGCCAATATGCCTTAAGTATTTCAGAGCAGGCGTTATAAAAATATGTCTCTGTGACTAAGAAATCTTCTATGTTTGTTGAATTAGAAAGTTTATGTGTAATATAATTCACATACGTACAGTATAAACATATTTCTCAGTAACTCCTGCAGGAGTTTGCCACTGTCCCCTAGTCACACAGGATTCCTGCAGGGACTCTAATTTCCTGCCACATCTCTAAGGTACCTGTACTGTGTGTGTGTGTGTGTGTGTGTGTGTGTGTGTGTGTTCCCTACAATGGACCTGCATCCCATCCAGGGTATATCACTGTGTCGTTGTGTCTTGTGCAGTCTGGTATAGGCTGCAGGCCTCACCCCAATAATTCTGACCTGGATGGAGGATGGATGGATGCATGGATGGATGGATGGACAGATTAGCCTTCCACACCATCCAGAAAAATGGCCCTCAAGCAGCCAGTGAATGATCATTCACCCCCCTGGCCCAAACATGGCAGCGAGTGATGTTTGGCATAAAGCACTAGGGGAACTGCATTTGTAGCACAAGAGCATGAAAGGTCAGCATTTGCATGTGACTAGCAGAGCAGGGCGGGATTCAGGTGAGCCCGAGTCACTGCCCACTCCCTGCCGTATACCCACTGAAGACACTATACAGTCCCAAACACTGTGCAGTCCCAAACACCATACAGTCCCAAACACTGTGCAGTCCCAAACACCATACAGTCCCATACACTATACAGTCCCAAACACTGTGCAGTCCCAAGGACTGTGTACAGTTCAAACACTGTACAGCCCAAAACAGTGTGTACTGTCTCAAGCACTGCATACAGTCCAAACACTGTACAATCCCACTGTGTAAAGATAGAAACACTGTACAGTCCTATACACTGTATACAGTACCAAACACTGTACAGTCGCACTGTCTACAGTCAGAAACACTGTACAGTCCCAAGCACTATGTACAGTCCAAACACTGTTTCCCACCCTGTTGTCTGACTATATCCCAGACCCAAGGCTCCCCCCCCCACAGAATTTAGAGTACTTCACTGTACGTGTTCCGCCACCAAGCCCCCTCGCGTTTGAGAATATGCATCTTGTACGAGCTGAATGAAATCTTGCTTGGGCTTTGTGATAGCTTCGTGATCCCAGGAGCGTATGGCATCACACAGCGCCCCCTACAGGATTTTGGGTGAAAACAGGTATGGGGATGCCCCCCCCACCACATCCGAGCTACACACCCCTAAATGCTTGCAGGTGAAGGGAAACACATGGGGGCCATTTGATGTCATCCTCAAAAGAGTACCAGAGCGGTGCTGGTCCCAGTCCAGCAGGCTCCTGCCCCCCCCCCAGTAAACACGCCCTGGCCCTGTCCCATCCTCATCCTCCCCTGGTTAACATCGAGCCTGTCAGGGGATATAAGTCCTCTTGAAAGGATGATGGCTCTCTAAAGTGGCCTCTCACTGGAGAGGGGCCATTTTCCACTTGACTGGCACCCCACACAAAGGACTCAGGACCCCCACCCCCACCCCCACCAGCACCCCACCCCCAATTCCACCACCTTGCCTCCAGCAGCTGTGCCTGCCTGGCCGGGTGGGGAGACCAGCTCAGAGAGAAGCGGAGCTTGGAGCAGCGTTGTGTATTTGTGGGCACACTGTGGTGCGGGTGCAGCCGATCCTCGAAGTTCAGTTACACCTGTCCATGCAGCGACCGTGCTCTCCAGGTTGGAGGGTTCGGAGACTAGGATGTGCTGGGGCTGGGGCGAATCTGCTGGTTTCGCCGCCAATCTCATGCACCAACAGAGTGTTGGGGAGGGTTAGCACTGCCCTGTCGCTAACTTCACTAGCATCCGGTCCCTCCCAGTCTCTGGTTTCTTGCTGATGCCATGACGTACCGTCCTCGCTCACTGTGGTACCCAAAGGCGGACGCGTGTGTCTGTGTGAAATGCTGCCTGGCTCCCAGCCAGTAGGAGGCAGTATTAAGGAAACCAGGGCTTCCTGACCTCATTGGCCCTGCTGTACGAATGCCTGCACCTGTGAAGGTCCTTAAACTGTGGAATAATAAAGTCCCAACCAAAGGGTCACTTGCCTTTGGAAGCCCTTCCGGCTGACCCCTGACCTCGGTTGGCCTAGCAACCATGCAGCTATGACAACAACTCATTTGATCTGCAAACAACCAATGCATCACCTTCAGCACACGGATGACTATCAGTTACCAAGACCTTAAAAACATATGTGTTCATAACCACAAAAGGCCCGTAGCCTGTGCCAGGAAGCAGAGGAAAGGCAGGGGACACACTGCACACGATGCTACTGCATCGCAGTGCGTAACCAGTCCCACGCCAGGGGTCCCAGATCACCCCTCTGCCTGTTTTGGGCTCTGGGAGGAAACGCAGGGAGAAGCTACACGTTCAAACCCAATCAAACTGTGCCAACTACTGGGCCAGCATGGTGCCCAGATAAAAAGAGAAAGGATTCCTCTGAAGGCAGTGCAAATGTGCTGTTCATCAGTCACACTGGGGGGGGAGACGGTGTTTTTATCAGGGAGCGAAAGCTTGCAGCCATCCCATAGCAGTCGCCCCGTTCCCCCTTGTTCATCTGCACATGCTTGGATGCCCACATGACTTCCTGCTGGGCCCATGAGTCACTGACATGCCCCATAAGTTCGCTTCTTTACCGCGGCCGCTATCCGCCCGTCTCCCGCTCCTGGGACTAATTACTCCAGACTTCACAGGCAGAGAGACGGAGCACAGAACCTGCTGGAAATCCTAGCCATCGCTGTGAGCCGTTCCTTTCCACTCGCCTTCGCTCCCCAGCCACTCGCGTCTTTCCGTCTCACGGCGCTACCGGCATCTGGTTGGACGCCCCGGGAGGTCCTGGTTTCTCAGTGTCACTACGGGGTGTTCAACAGGAGGGCAGCGACTGTGGTCAACTCAAGGACCGGTTGGGGTCGGGCAGGGCGAAGGGGGTTGTGATGTCGTTAATGTGAACACCTCACGCCCCATTCTTCTTATGCCTACGGAGTGAGTGCCCCCCTCCCCCAGAAAAAAGACTCACTGACAAGATAACAAAGGCATCACGACTTCGAGAGCCTCGCAGCTGTTCATGGGGAAACAAAAAGCTCATCCAGGGGATAGTGACGAAGGGGATCTTAATTACTGAGGAATATATTTCCATCAGGACCCGAGACCCCAGCGGGCAGCCCTGAGCGGGGGCCTCACACCCCATGAGCCACACCCCCATCAGACCCCTACCACCCAACTGCTGGGCCCGACAAGCACGTATGGACCACACCGCTGTGCAACTGTAGTAATTAGCGTGTGTGGCCATAGCACGCTTGCCCCCCCCCCATATAATTGGCCTTCCCATATGTGGTACTGTAAAGCAGCATAACGAAGAGTTCCCAGTGGGGGGGTGGGGGGGGCGGTGTTTGCTGACCTTACTGACCCCTGTGACAATGAGAGGCAGGAAACATCCACATACGTGCACTGATTTCCCCCTGGGGGGGGGGGGGGGGGGCGGAGGTTTGGCAGCAGTTCATTAAAGCTTGTATGTGTCGACCCACAGTGATTTCAAAGCAGAGCCGGACTTCACATGGTGCGACGGTTATCAGAGGCGCCTGGCGGATGGGGAGCTGGCAGTGACACGGGTCACTGCTATGGGACCCCACCCCCCCAATGTCACCAGGCTAGGGGACCGGGACACCTTAGTGACTTAAACCTGAAAGTAAACACATCTCGCACCTTGCACATCACCGTGGACCGTCAGTGCTGCCAGAACCAGACCTCTACATGTCAGCCTTGACACCCATCCGATGAAGTGACGTTTACGTCCGTTTCTCTATCTTCAGTTACCTTCTGCGTGCATTTTTCTGCACGCCTGTTTTTGGTTCGAGTTGGCAAATGGCCTACTTACTATCTACATGTTGGCCTAAGCACAAAAAAAACGATACAAGCAGGGGTGGGAACTTGAGAATTTTTATTAATAGCCAACAGGAATTGCTAGTTCAGCAAAAGTCCAACGTGCAAGTTTTTTTCCAGCAAGCTAGTGTTCAGTTTTTGTACTCACCATTCATTTAAATTACTAATCTCCAGTCCGGGATAGAGGTAAAGCAGATTACCTTCATTAGATAAGCTGACATCATAGATGTGATTAAGAAAAAGAAAACTCAGAAACTGTAAAGCATTTTATTATAGACTAAGACGATGTACTACATACGTCCGAATGGCTGCATTGAGTAGAGATGATTGAGCCTCTGGACACGCTGGAAGGAGTGACGACTGGGCGCCTTCCCTATCACAGGACGGCAGTTAAATGAGGCTAATCTTGTTTCGATTGACAGCAGCCACCCCAGACTGCTCATTTGGCCAAGCGGGGCCCCAGCCGGGAGGGGCCCGTGTCCCGGAGGTGCCCTCCCCCCACCCCGTCCCCCCTTTCTCTGAGCAGATGGGCCTCTCCCCAGCACTGCAGGCCAGCTCTGCACCGGAGCGACGGTGGCAGGATCTCATAGGAGCAGGGGGGGTGGGGGTGGGGGGGGAGTGTCCAGGTGGTGACGGCCCCTCCTGGCCAGCTGGAGGAGCAGTGGCCATCTGACAAATTGGAGGAGAGTCGAGCTCTCAAACCGGCGCTTTGCATTTCAATGCGGACCGGTGTGCTCCAATTACGGAATGGAGCTAATTATTCCAGCCGTCGTTTTGTTCGGGTATTCGGGTGTTTCCTCCCCCCGTTCGTTCCCATACTCGGAGTGATATCTGGAGGCTTCTGGACTTATTTCTTTTGCATCCTCTCTGTTCATCTCTTGTCACTTCCTGGCACAGATAAAATTATAGCGACATGCACACTTTGTATGACAACAATGGGGTAGCTATCAAAGACCATCGCAGGACATAAACAAACTTAGATACAATATAAGACATTAAAAATAAACAACAAAAGAACACAGTTTGTATTTTCATGGCCAAGGAGAAAGCCTGCTGTCAAATGATACTGATTACAATCATTAATCTCCACCGCTATTCACTCCCCAGTTAATTCTTTTATGTTGGATCACACATTTGAATCTCGTTTGCTCAGTTATGAATCCCACTTGTTCGGAAACAGGAGGCCGGAGGACGAGAAAGGCAGGACTGTGTGCCTATGGAGCAGCAGGACACGGAGCGCCGAGCCGGAATTTCGTGAGGTGTCCTTGCTGTTCCCCACGGAGCTCATTCCGAACTGCCCCAGGTGTAAAAACTGGCTGCGGGCACCGAGGCGGCCCAGAGCTTTCCAGTCACATTTAAGAAGCCGCCGGACAGTTTTATTTGTAGAACTGCTGCAGGGTAACAGGTGCTCCCCCGCCAGAACTGACTGAAGCCCCCCAGCCTGCATGTAAGGGGGTTATGAAGAATGTGGCCCCTCCCCCGATGGCCTTTTGCATTCTCGGTAGCAGCTGGGGCAGTTCCATCTATCCTACGCTCCTCAAATGACCTCAGAACAAGAAGGACATCCAGGAGGCAAGGCGAGATCCAGGGGGCGCTCTCTGGTGACCACATCCCGATCCAGCAGCTGATAGAACCTCCTTCTGCCTGTGATTAATTAGTGTTTCCAAACACAAACCTAGGGCCATGACACGTCCTTTGTATTTGCCTGACCTAGTGCCCTCACCTCCCCACAACCCCACCCCACCCCAGCCCGCCCCTGCCCTGTCCGCGGCGAAGGGGAGCAGGCAGGCGACAGCTGTGGACTGGAGAGGGGACAGTCCCTTTCCCATGGAACCCTGGCACCGTCCGGTTCCGCCAGGAGGCACGGCCATATGCGTGCGGCCCCCGCTGGCTACGCCGAGGCGCCCCCAACCCGCCGACGCGGAAACGGAGCGGGGTGGCATGGAGGTGGAGGGAAAGAAAACACCCACGCTCCCGCACAAAGACTGCAAGGCGGCGTGTCAGGGTCACACGGCGGTCCTGCGGGAACTGCAGTCAAAGTTCGGCGCGATGCAACCCATTCCTGACTTTGCCAAACAACGCCGACAAAGAATTCAACAAAGTCACGTACAACCCCGGTGCCTTTCAGAGCCGCAAACCGCGATAAGATTAGTTAGAGCAGGAAAACATGGTTTGACTACTTCGGTCATAATGAATTTGATTAATTAAGCGCCAGCAAGTGAACTAAATAACTAGCATTTAACATATACACTGTTCACAGACATTCAACATATTAGCATGGGCAGACATAAAATTTAAGATAAAAACGGACATTATTCAGATTATCTTTCTATCATGCAAATTAATAAGATTAGACCGGTAAATTTTTCATCCTGGAGCCAAAAAACAAACACGGTCATACAAACACTGGAGTTCAATTACCCCTAGCAGGAAAAGCTCAGTTCCTCGCCTCTTGCTTTACTCGAATAAATTCATTTTGAAAGTCAGTGACCTGAGAAGGCAGTAAGGCACATTACAGGAGCTCGACGTGCGGATGTTCTGAAGACGGAGGCGTTTTCTTTGGTCTGGCGCCCCCTCTAGTGTTGGCTTGTCGAAATGACAACCACACGAAGGACGTATGAATTCGTTACAAATTCTCAGCGGAAACAGCTTATAGGGTTGCGAGACAAACCAGGCAACAAAACTTTTGCATCAGAATAAAAAGACCGCGTTTTACAGTCAGATATTAAATGTTAATGTACATAAAATTAAAACATTAATAGAATTGTATACTATAAAATTAACTTTTAGCTGAAAAACTCACCCTCAGTGTTTACTCTCGGCTTCTCGGTATGGTTTGTCTGTGGCGATGGTGCTTAAAACTAAAATATATGGTCCAATAAACATTGCTTGCATTATCGATGAAAGGATCGGGACTCAAGAGATAAAAAAAAAAAATCAATCAATAAATATTGTTCGTGGGTACTTCAACAACCTTCCCCCATAATATGCTTGGATGGTTTTTTTTTTTTTTTAAATCGGCTTCACAGGGGACACTTGGTGCCGCAGAAATCCCCGGCGCGGAACACGTGGTACACATTGACCAGCGGGAACATGATGAGCGCCCCCAGCAATGAGCCGGTCTGCACCGCCGCCCCGCACCAAACGAGGGCGCTGTGGCTGTGATCCCGCAGAATCACCCCCAGCATCACCTTCACGTAGGACAGCGCCCCCACGAAGAGGACCCAGGATATCACCTGCGGGGTGCCGAGTGAAACAGACAGATTAGGCAAAACATTTAATAGACAGCTGCATCGGTAATATCTCAAGTAAGCAAAGTACAAATCTCCATCCATATATTTCGCTACAAAGTAACAAGCCTACAGTTTTAATGCATAGTCTTCGAGGCACTGTACAACGACCTATGACTATATGTCTAAAAAAAGGTAAAATGGTTATTATTGCTTTCATATTCTACTACTTTGCGTTGTATAACTCCAGCGTCTGCTATTAATTGGAAGATGAAATTCTAGACTCGGGTAATATTTGTAGACTATTCTGAGTTAAAATTTGGTTAAACTCTTGCCAGCAAATTTTACTGCTGCCGAATAGTGAAAGGACAGATCTCCGTGGGCATCATTAGAGAGCGTCATGGAGCTGCTGTCAGTTTGAGGGAGACTCTCAGAATATTCGAAAGCGGTGGGATGTCTGTCACCCCAGATGACCCAAAGCAGCATTTGCACTGGGATGTGTGGATGATGCACTCACGATAAGGGCTTCTCCTGCCGCAGAGCCCTGGAGCGGGGGGCAGGGGCTGAGGGCGGCCATGGCCATGTTGTATGAACCGAAGGCCGTCCCCAGTAGACACAGGAGGCCCAGGAACACCAGGGACCTGGAGTGCAGGACGGGGAGAAGCGTAGTCAGGGCACCAAGATGCCCCGAAGCCTATAGCATGCACTATGTGAATAACTTCTCCATCCTGCATAATGCGGTGAGCCTGGAGCTTATCCCAGGACATGAGGCTGGCAATCAATCAATCCATCCATCCATCCATCCATCAATCAATCAACCCATATTTTTTAACATGAGAATTCTTGGTGATATAGTGGTGCAGTGGGTAGTGCTTTGCCTCACACCCCTTGTTGACCAGGGTTCAAGTCGTTATCTCTGCTCTATGCCTTTCCATGTCATTGTGGGGTTTTCACTGATTTCCCCTCACAGTCCAAGAACAAAAAAGGTGAATTTGCGTTGCCAAATGGAGTGTGAGTGTAGCCTCTGATGGGGTGGCACCCCATCCTGGATTATTCCTTACCCTGTGTTCATAGCTTCTGGGATAGACTCCAGACCCCCATGACCCTGCATAGGACAAGCAGGTATGGATGAAAAACATCTTACCTTTTAGGGAGAAACATGGCAATGACACAAGCTACAGGGTTGGCCATCGCCGCAAGGGCTGCAGAGAGGTGATAGGCCACGTTCCCATAGGGCATGCAGGAGTACGTCTGCACTGACGGCAGCACGCCATTGGTCAGCCCGTTCACCCAGATCACCAGGAAGTAAATGAAGGCAAACTGGTGCCTAGAGTATGCCGGCTTCAGAAGCCGGAGCCAGGACTGGCCTGGTTCAGCAGGGCCACCATCGCTTGGGGCTGTCAGCACCTCAGGGCTGTTCAGGCCATCGGAGACGGAGACCACTGATTCGGCCGCAAGATTCTCCCTCGAAAGTTCACATGTTCTTGGAACCCGGTTTAGGAGGACAAAGGCGATCAAGCTGAGGACCATCATGGCGGCGAGGAAGAAAAAGAAGATCTCCGTGGAGAAGTTGGGAGGGAGGTACTGGGTCTGGATGGTGCTTGTGTTCGAGGTTGTGCTGTTGGGGGACAGGGTGACGTTGACGCACTTGGCGATGCCCACGCCCTGCGCGAGGGCCACCAGCCCGGGCACGAAGCCGCTGAGGCCCTCGCCAATGAAGAATGTGGTGATGTACTTGGCCGGCAGCTGCATCATGAAAGGCAGGAAGGTGACCGAGGAGGTGCAGTCCACCAGGGACAGGAAGAAGGTGATGACGAGGAAGGCGGTACTGTGCGGCGAGCCGAGCATCACCGAGGTCTTCGTCCAGAAGGCAGGAAGCAGGAAGCAGGCCGCCACTCCGACGGCCAGAATAACGTAGATGACGAGTCGCTCCTTCAGCCTCCCGGGGCAGAACTTGTGCATGAGGGTGACCAGCAGGGGGCCCACGTTGGCCAGCTGGATGATGACAGTCAGGTAGGATGGCAGGTCCCAGCCCTCAGGCAGCCTGTTGACGATGAGCGGTAGCTCCACCCACAGGCCGTTGATGGCGACCCAGGATCCCAGTCCGAAGGTGCAGGCAAGCAGGTGGACCAGCAGGGCCATGGCTGAGCGGTTAAGCTGCTGAACCCTCACTAATATCTCATGCAAACAGCTTCCCTAAAAGGCATCCGTCACCGTTTCCTAAAAGAACAGCACAGGTAGACACGTGTAATGAAGACAAATAATAGTCCTGGCTGGTATTTTATTCAGATAATGCTAACTGTTCTCGCAGTTGGAAATGGGATCCAATTCAGGCTAATATTCAGAATAAATTAGCACTGATCCAAAAATTATATATTCACCAAGATTATAGTAAACATATAGTGTTTCGCATCCTGCTCTTCGGGGACTGTCAGACAGTTTGTTTTTGCTCCCTCTCAGCTCTCCTTCTGTATGCTACCAGATTTTTGCTACCTCTTCAGTTTAACTTAATCTCAGTGTCAGGACTATTTTTAATGTTTCGCAGCAATGAGAGAGGTTTCATTTCAAAAGAGGTGCAATGTTAATATCGATCTCGCCTGCTATGGACGTGCAGTTGTTACATCACAAGGACTGCGAAGGATTGCGAAAACATTTTTAATCTGTCATAGGAAACAAAACAAGTCATCATCCTTTTCATCGTTGCTCGTTCATGGGCAGTGCGGCACGTTTGTGAGAAATTTAACAAAAACAAGTGAGGAGTAGAAAAATATGAACAAGTACTGGTTACCAAAAGATGCTGTATTTGTGATCCCATAGAAACAATATTGAGCTAAAGCAAGTGATTTGTCTGCACTGCTTTGTGTCTGTTGGAAGAACTCATGGCATCACCACCCATGTATTTGATAATTCATGTCTCATAATTTAATTGTTAGAATTCACCAGAATGTGACTGAACTACTGGCTTGCCTTTCTACTAAAAAGGCCTATTGCAATATTTATCACAAAAATTTCAGATATCTCTGTTAATTGTCCCCAGTATCGAGCCCTTTTTTGTATGAAGATAATTTTCCAGAGGGCTTTCTAAGCCAGAGAAGTATGGTTAGAATTGTGTTAAAAATAAAGAAATTGCCGCTTGCATTAAATACCTAAGGCATCAGAACATTAAACGTTTCTGTATGTTATTGTACTTCAGCTACCTGTTCAGTTTAATTTATTCAGTTTCATTTATTTTACGTTATCCTTTTATAGAGATTAGTAATATCTCATTTTTTATGAAAAGAAATATTTTGATATTAATGCAGTATACATGATTTTGTGTGTGTGTGGTTGGGGTGGGGCAAGGCAAGGTTAAGCAAATAATTGATAATTTGTTGAATAATAACTGGGGCAATTCAGCTAGTAATTCTGTCTGAAATGTCCATCCTTTCTACCTTTTCAGAGGATTGATACTGTCAGTTTACAGACCCAGGTGGATCCATAACAAAAAGCATGTTTACAGCTGAGTTTAGATACCATCTTAATTACTACTGGTTTTCAATTCAGCATCAAACAGGAAGCTTACAATTCATAGCATACAGTGCTAAACTGCATTTGAGAAAACGTTTCTCCAGGCTGGGTCTTACGGAGTTAAACTAGATGAGCAGCAGGATTACTTGCATTGTTCTGGCACCTCTCTGTTGACCAAAAGCCCAGGTATGTGGAATATTGTTCCAGGGATTTATTATGAAGACTAATAAGTAAGTTTTGATACCTCTGTCGCATTGAAGCTGCTTCTCCACGGCCTGTTTCAGGTCTGAATTGAACCACCTCTGATTCAAAGGCAGTTCTGTAGCTACCAGGTATTTCATACGTACCACACACGCTTAGGTAGGTCCGGGTGACCACGGGTCCAGCCACTCGGAGTCCATAGCCAGCAATGCAGTACGATAAAACGATTATGCCTGTAAACCCTACTGGGTCTTTTGTCAAACTCGACGTACAGCACAGATACACTAAAACCAAACTGTGACTGCAAATGCACAACCCTGAAAGTTTATCATTTTAAATGTCACAATGACATTGACGTTGCTTGTGGATATTTAGGCATGGTTTACATTTCTGTAGGTAGTGCTGACTCTGAAGAATTATTTAAACACTACTTGTGCAAGTAATCATGTGGGGAAAATATTATGTATTTAACCGAAGAATCAGGGTAATCTGAACAATTATTCTGCATTTTAATACTACCCAAGAAAAATGCAATTTACAGTTTTATAGTCTATTTATTCTCTCCAATTAATTAATTTGGCTCAGCTTTTGTAGATTTCTCCCCTGTCTGTGGTTATAAGCTAAGGTGTTCTGGGAGAATTTGCCATAAATCAGTTTAACAACTCATTGATCACGGTGAATACACAACCATTGCTAGTCACCTTAAACTGGCATAAACTCATAAATAATAACGGCAGGCTGTGGTCTGAATGCAGTCATCAGCTCAGTCAGATATATTTAGCTGGGAGCTCAGCTGCATGCAAAAGCCCAGAGGAGCAGGACCCAGCAGTGTAATGTACTGTACCGTGACTTTCACAATGATCAGCTGTTTTTGGTGTCGGAATGAGCTGAAATGACTGCAGTCTACCACACGTAGGTATGACGTTTCCGAACCTGCTGACCTGAACCGTCACGTGGCTGGAGCAGAGAGCCAGCCTCCCTCCCGCCCGTAATGACCGCTCCCGTACTCACCGACGTGTGGCAAACCCGGCAGTCCATGAGCGAGAGAGACCCTCCGTTTTGTTACATGTGCTCAGGAGCTGCCAATGAGCAGACTGCCCCGTACTCTCTGCAGGGACCGCAGCTCTCACATGGGTGGTCCAGAGTCCACCCTGGCGGTGAGAACCTCCCCGCCGAGGGACGGCCTGAACTTCAGCCGTATCACACATTCCGGCCAGGAGGGGGGGGGGGGGGCGAGTCTTATCCTCCCCTCCCCCCATTCTTCAATAAGAGGCAGGGGGATGTGTGTGCGTGGCCCTTCAAGGTCAATAGCTAGTTTAAAATGGCCCCTTTGTGAAAACACATGATCAGATCACATCAGTCGCGGCGTGACAGCAATTGAGGTCAGGATAGCGGAAGGAGTGTGTTCCCGCACGAGGTCGGGGGACAGAAACGACAGGCGTCAATATCCGTCACGAAGAGCAGGAACGTCCGCGAGCCAGTTTTGCTCGAGGCTAACAGCACAGACTGTATCCTACAGCCCGAGTACAAAATGATACTGTGACTCATTTATCAAACAGTAACCCTGATTGGTCTGGGCGCGGCCGCGATTGTGGTTTAGCGCGACGGATTCAGACGCATGGGTGTAGAGCGGCCCAGACCTACCTGGAAAGGTTCACCTCCCCCAGGGACAGACCTGCTGGCCCTCAGCTCATCCGGAGGGGCTTTCTGATAGACTAAAAGACACCCTCAATGTTGACAGCCATGATAGCGGGTTGATTACAAGCTAATAAGCACCTTAAAAGTCTATAGCCCTATTATTCAAATCACGGTCCTCGAGGTCCGAGCACTGCTGGTTTTCCAGCCTTCCTTTACCTGTCAGTCAGGTGTGAAGCCTCTGGCCAATCAGAATCAGTAATTATTAAACTAACTACCTGGGAGAACTGAAAACAAGGCATCGAGGTCCAGAATTGAAGAGCCCTGGTCTATAGGAAACACAGAAAGGAGAAGCAGACGCGAGGGTCATGGTTAACCGAAGGAAAGGCAGGGCAGAGACAGGAAAGGGCTGAGTCAGCTGATCAGTCATGTTTTGAGCATCACTGCCGGTTTCACAAGAGCAGCAGCTGCGGGCGATACAGTCCTGCGCTCACTAAGGAGCACGACGCGTTACTGGGTGAAGGTTCAATCTGCTGTCGCGGGGCAGTTACCGATAGCAGGCAGGGGGCCCGCATGACATGCGTAGTTTCCAAACTGTGCCCTCCCTTGGGAGCTACCAACTCACCAAAACGGGAGGGGGGGTTGGTCAGACCCCTGCAGCAGCAGCCATGATGAATGTTCCTCACAAAACACACAACATCACGAGGGACTGTATGACTGAGTTCGGCAAATAGAAAGGCAGTCAGACCGCAAGCTGTGTAAGACAGTTTACTTGCCATCTGGGCCAACAGCCTGAAGGAGTCAAGGTGAAATGTGACACGTTAAACTACTCAAAAATGCAGCGCTACTTCTGCAGAGACTGGTTTCAGAAACACCAAGGTACAGCTCAGCTACTCCCTTAAGTCCACTTCCAGGTAAAATACACCTGGGGCATCCTGACAGAGTCACAGGGCGGGAAGGGGGGGAGGGTTAATAAATCCTGCAATATCTCTGCTTTTAAAGAAGAAAAAAGCAAAACAAACTCACTGTGACGACCATTATTCTTAAATGCCACAAAACAGTGATGAATGTGACTCACAAGCTCAGATCTGCTCCAGACCAGATGGAATTCAGTACCACTGCACAGCACCAGAACTGCCCACCGCCCTTCAGAACCGGACGGGGTTCCACCACCAAGCAGCGGAACACTCCACATGTCACATGAGACATGTACACCCTTACAGGTAACGTAATAAATAAAATGACCCCCAAGTATTAATTGGGTACATACCCTACAATGCAAGCAAAAACAGCAATTATTAAATACGCTGTCCCAAAATACTTTTTTCCCCCAATAGTATGTCCCAAATATTATCAGATGCAAAATAGCTTCAAGGTACAAAATGCCAACATTTGATCAACACTGAAGAAAGCAAGAGGCACAATCACAGCTGTCGCCTGAAGACATGGAGCAACCCCGTTACCGCGGTTTAACCTAACAGATGCTCTAACTAGGACAGGTGAAGCATCAACACGCATAACTCCAACCACAGAGCTGCTCCAGCATGGACTGGTAACTTGTTCTGAATTGCTGCTCATTTTCATCCATTTTCACCCAACCCGGACCAAGGACTGGATTAAGAGCTAAGGAGTAGACCAGCGTTTCCCAATCCGGTCCTCAGGGGTCTAAAGTCGGTCCATGTTTTTGCTCCCTCTCAGCTCCTGGTAGGGAGCAAAAATGTTTACTGTCTCTGGGTGCCCAAGGACCAGATTGGGAAACTCTAGTCTACTCCTTAATTCTTAATCTAAATTAATCCCATCAGTGAACATTCTTCCCCAGGCTAGAAAGAATACTACTTCACACTCAGTAGTGCACTCAATAAGATTATTTATGTTATTGTACAATCTGCATTTATAACAAATAATAATAATAAAAAAAGATTAGTAAGATGTACAGTATTCGAATGGTCAGGTCTGGGCCGCAGCCGTCGTCTTCATGGTCTCTGAGGCCCACAGGGAGCTCCAGAGATGGGGGGGGTGTGACGTGGGGGGGGGGGGGGGACTCCTACAGTCTCCGAGGTAAGAGGCCTGCAGCTGTGCGGGGGGGCATTGCTGCCGGTGCGTGCCGCTGAGGTCGCGGGGCTGGATGGAGTGAATGCTGGAGGGATGGATGGGGGGGGGACAGAGAGAAAAGCAGCGGAGCAGTGAAAGGGGGCCTAGTTGCTGTAGATCTGTCCCTCGGGGGGCTGCGGCAGCTTCATGTTCTCCTTGCACATCATGAGTCGTCGCAGCTCCTGCAGCACGACGCGGATGCTGTACGAGTTCTGCCATTTGGCCAGGGCCGACACCGCCCGCGTGTCCACCTGGGGGCAGGCCAGAGCAGCATCAGCGACCCCCCGTGCAGGAAACCAAAGCCACCTGCAGAGTTACCACATCCCCGCCACTGACCCGCTCAAATACAAACCCTGAAATGAGACACTGCCCCCATCCCCGCTGCCCCGAGTGCGAGCTGGGACAACTGTACGGTCAGGTTTCCGGACAGCCGGTCACATGACCGGTCACATGACCTGCCACATGACCTGCCACATGACCGGTCACATGACCTGTCCCAGGACCCTCAGTGTCCCTCACACCCCCCTCCGCACAGCACAAACAGGCCCGACGTGGGGGAGGGCCGTCTGACTGCAGACAGGGTGAGCCGTGATAAATAAACCACACAACATCTGCCGTGCACCAACGGGCATTTAAAATTAAACCATGCTGTAAACTAGGAAAACAAAAGTCACAAAATACCATAATCTAATGATGCTTTCACACAGTTTTCAAAGGTAAGCATTTACATGCACTGCCTTGCATTTTTTTATGTTTTAATACCTTAAAGGGGTAGTTCAGCCTAAAACTGAAAAAATTATATGTTTTAGTGTTAACTATCCATCTAGGTCGTTCTGCTGGGAGTTGCCTAATTGGTCTTCTCTTGAATATAATGGGAGTGAATGGCATCCTTTCTGTGATAATTAAAGTACCAGAAGAATACATTTAACAAATTCAACAGCAATGTCTGTTACCAGAAATCATGACCCCAGTTACTGAAGATAATAAACTGCTTACGGCAAAATCTGTGTAATTTAGGAACTGTTTTCTACTACAGAACTCTATGCAATAATATGATTGATGTACATAGTTCGGTAGAAGAAAACAGTTGCTGCTTGTGAAACATTATCTTTTTTCCAGTTTTGGGGTGAACTGTCCCTTTAAGTTTTTGAGTAAAAAGTATTATGTGCCTTTGTGGCTGTATGGAATCTGAAACATTTCCTGTCACTAAGGAAATTCTGTCACTGTATTTTGTTCTTACAATTAACCAGAAAACGTAACGCTACCCTGTCCACAAATCTGGCAAGACAGCACAGGATAGGACAGGACAGGACAGCACAGTTAGGTAGATGGATGACAGACGGAGAGAGAGACACAGGACAGCACAGGTATGCAGACGGATGACAGACGGACAGAGAGACACACAGGGCAGCACAGGTAGGCAGATGGATGACAGACGGACAGAGAGAGACACAGGGCAGCACAGGTAGGCAGATGGATGACAGACGGACAGACACACACAGGACAGCACAGGTATGCAGAGAGATGACAGACGGACAGAGACAACAGGACAGGACAGGAGCACCAGTATATATTTTATAAAATACTGGATTAGTTCCATGGGGTAATTACAGGATTAAGTACAAGCCCTAAAAAGCATCCTTCCGTTAGCAGCCAAAAAGCCAGCAGATTGTGAATGAGCACTTTGGAAAAACTCTGCATTACGGAGATTATGGGGGGGAAGCCCCACCGCAGGGGGGTGGCGTGGGGTGACCTCGGCGCTGCTCGGAGGACACTCACCACACCGTTCGAGGTATGCACGCCGTTCAAGTTGATCTTTGTCACAAATCTGACGAAGGGAGGAGTCTCTGGGTACCTGGGGCCGCACTCCACCTGTAAGCTGTACATCCTGTTCTCATAGATGGTCTGGGAGCAGAAGAGCACAGGGAGATTGCGTCACCTAGGAAACACCCTGACCTGCCTCTACACAGGCCTGTCACCGAGTGAGTCACAGGCGACGGGACCCGGCGAGAAGGAAAGGGGACGACGGGGGGGGGGGGGGAGATGCCAACAGAGATGTGCCCACAGAATAAAGAAAAACAGCAGAGCGTGGTGAAGAATCACTACTGCTCTGCAGGACGGAATGACTGAAGGAGCCGCTCGCAGACACCTCACTCAGAGAGTCTGTCACCTCCTCTCTGCACGCTCCTACCCTGAGGTGCATGATCCGCCGTCTTCTGGGAAGGAAACGCACACAGATCCCAGACAGAAAGCGAGGCAAACGTATCCTAGAAACTTCCCTACGACCAGAAAACTGAGCAGAATGCAAGAACACAAAGCATGGAAAAATACAGAAACAATATTTGTCCTTAAATGTTCAATTTTAGATTTTTAATGAAGTGAGAGGGCAGTGCTTTCAACTACAGTAATGGATAACATGCATGTTATTTGCCATTTGTACAAGCATGTGTGCAAGACTATAGGAGTTTGGTTGTGATTGTCACATATCCCATCCTGCCCTTCCAGGAGAGACACACACAGGAGAGGGCGAAGCTTGGGCTCTGAGCACCAGTAGGGGTTAGGGGCCGCACTCACAGACCTCACAGTGATATTACACAGACAGCCACAGGAAGTCAGTGATCTTCTGGAACCTTGCGCAGGCCCCTAAGCTACAGACCCACACACTGCCCAAAATATTTATGTGAGATCCCAAGGCCAGCAGGACCCCTGGCATTCCTCTCCTGTCATACAACAAACTTATACATGCATTTATGCAGAGGCAGAGTGCTAACATGAGGTTTTTCCAGATCTGAAACATATCTTTTTTTCCCAGTTCATACCATACCAGTAAACCAATTAGGCATATTACTGTAGGTAAACGGAATACCAGAACGGAACAACTTCCATCTGATTATCTCGTTCATTTAGGCTGCTGTTATATAATAATAATTATTATGTACAGGGATTGACATAACTAGTACGCAAGTACGCATTCACCTTCAACGGCGATCGGTGCGGCAATCGATTGTTGTAACAGCGTGAATGTGTACGTATTTTATGTGCATTTGCGCCGATATGACAAGATATTATTGTGCATTTCACCTTTATATGCTAATTCGTACTTCATTTGTGATAGAGGTTAAAATGCACAGCAATTTCTTGTCATATCGGCGCAAATGCACATAAAATGCATACGTATTTGCACTGTTACATTAGTCGTTTGCGGCACGTTTCGCCTTTAAAGGTGAATGCCTACTCGCGTACCAGTTATGTCAATCCCTGATTATATACAATTAGTAGTATATATATATAAATAT